GACCTGAAAATGCTGCACAGCAGATTATTAACATTCAAACACTTGAAGACCATGTAGGACAACCAAAATATATACTAATCTAAAATAGATAAAGACATTATATGATGATAGTATATTCAATGACTAAAAAGAGAAAGAATTGAATAACCTTTGAACAAATTAAACAAGTACAAACAGCTGCAGAAGAAGAGGTAGCTTGCTTAATTAGCTGAATATGGAGAAGTAGTACTGATAGATGAGCGAGCGAGGCTGTGTTTATGCCTTCTAGGGTCAGAATTATTTATATATAAAATACAGTACTTAAATGCTTCCATCACACGGCGGCCGTGCGTTCTTGTAACAGAAAAGAAATAAAATCTAAGCAGCTAACTGTACATATTTATAATGGAAGTACAATAAGTGAATGATATATTGTTTTTAGTATACAACAGGAACGTGTTTAACATGACTGCCTTCGTTTTTTGCGAAGTAACTGTAGATTGTACACGTATGAATGGTTTTAATGTTCATCTAGGTTCCTGCTTTAATTTACATACTTTCATTGTATTACGTTCTTATTGACTCTTTGCAGGCCCTTGTCCGAGGATGTTAATAATGCAGCAAAAATTCTCAGGTGTAGTAGGTCTGCAAATTATAAATGTTGGAAAAAAAGTAACATCGTTTTCAAAATTAAAAAAAAGCTAGCTTTAAGAGAAAAGAGTGACATTGTTTACAATTATGAAAAGAAGGGGAGCCATGAACTGGAAACAGGTGTAATTGAGTTGAAAGTGAGAATAAAGTTCAATTATGTCAAAAACAACCTTTAATAAAGCCAGCATGAATTAAGCTGCCTTTGCGTATGTCAAATCAGAAGATGCTCTCACCCTAGCTGATGTGAACCCTAATTTTGTTTCAACTTCTGTCTTTGCTCAGAATCAGTTAATGAGGGCTTTGAAACATGCCCAATCAGTAAATTAGTAACAGTTGAAAGCAGCTGGCAATCACAAACGCAGCGCTTGGAGAAATTACAGTGTACGTATATTGTAAGGTATTAAGAGGTTCTTAATTATGGTGAAATTAATTAACTGAAGTAATGCATAGTAAAGGTTGAGTAATTTTTGTATTTTGAAGAAAGGAGAGCGCAAAAGCAGGAGATAGTCTGCTTTAAGCTTTTCATAAGCGGCGTTATTTACTGAAACTTCTGTTTATTGCCCTAAACTTGATTAAGTAACCTAGAGGCTCCAATTTGTTTTATCCATGATTGTCAACCGTATCATTATGTATTGAAAACCTAATTTTTTAAACGTGTATTACGTATCGTATCATATCATAGATACGCATTTTCAAAAATCATAAAATAAACAAAAATTTTCAAAAAATCAATATTATCCTCAACATTAATAACGAATTTGTGGTATTCTCAATCCTCAATGGTGATGCAGTTACGATTCTGGAAATTGACCATGTCCCTCGTTGCTAAGTGGTGATGTTTTTGAAGTCATTTTGGCCGATACATCTTTGTAATAAATTTGTGGATTATTTTGTTTTAAATTATGGTATTAATAATCAAAAATTAATTACAAAATAAAAATCTATATCATTTTCCCTTAACCATCGTAATGTACAGCCTCTCTGTATAAGAAAAAGACTGTTTTATAAGTGGGCTTTCAGATTTACTTACAATAAGTTAATGGTAATGATACTTTTCATAGAAAAAAATATATTTTACAGTCTTAAGATTTCAACAAGAATTCAAATACATTCTTTTGACATCTCTGATGTAAATATTAAAACACCAATGCTGTTGCAAACCATAGATAGAAAGTTATTATGTAGTCAACTTCAATCAAGTACACTTACCGCCCATAAAATGCAATCTAAAACAGAAAAGATGATGAAAAACACGTGAAAAGATAAACATGCTGTATCTCTAACAAAGGGCAACGTTGAACAATAATTAAGGCCAATAAACAAACAACTGATATCGATGATGTAAAATACTTAACTACCTCAAGATACTTCTGATGGCAAGTTATTAGTTAAGCCCACGTGAGTATGCATGCATGCATGTAAGATATACACGAGAACAACAAAATCAGGAATACTAATTAATACTAAAAAGATGGGCATCCAGTTCAAATATCATGGAAAAAGAGTTCCAATTACTATTAAATACTCACTAGACATAACACATAATCTACAACTCACAAAGAATTTTCAAATACTCTCATAAATACTGACAATGCCAAGAGATAAAATAACCTTGTGCAACTGTACGTGCGTACATATAAGAGAAAGGGACTGTAAGAGAATATCATATAAATTTTGTATCAGAAGGTAGGGAATATTGTTTCGATAGTGAAATTAAGGATCCTGTTATTCATGCTACAATATACAAAAAACTAGATAATTCAACATTGAATAAGAAAATCTGAAAGGTTGAATATCAGTGACTAGAACTCAAAAGATATTAAGGTCCATAAAATGCTTCACCCAACCAGTAGGATGGAACTAATGCAGCAAGCCATGACAAAGTCAGAGAAGAAAAATAAATTTTCACATTCCATTTCGAGGAGAAAGCGGCTCAAATAGTAACTAACAACCCGGCATGCAAGTTACAATCCTACCCTAACTGTTCAATTGCCACCCTTCTATCATGTAAGGCAAATCATAATTGTGCGTTTTAATGCTACGTCGTTATTCAATTACAAAAAACAACACTTATGGAATAATTTCATGCTACGTAAACTTGAATATTGACGATTATAGAACTTGCAAATGCATTCATTACATACTTGAAAAATCAACCGGGGGTCGACACTTCACAACCAGTGATGACAACCAGTCTACAACTTCTCGTCTTGCTCGCCATTTTGTAGACGCATTGATAAATCTTTCTGACCCATAAGCATTCAAGAACTCATCTGAAACAACATACATCATGTGCCTTATACTCCTCTCAGTGCCTACAACTGCAAGCACCAAATCCCCAAATGTATCCTTCAAGTAAAAGTGAACAACACGGTTACCACGCTCATGGCATATAATGTGCTCTTCCCAAGCAACAAAACCATGCGTATCTTTAGACATTTTGACAATGAAAAGTTCCACAAAGCTTTCAAAGAACCCCTTTTCTGCTACATTAGCTGAAAACAAGTGAACAACAATTCAAGCAATAAGTTTTTGACACTAAACTAACCCACTTAAGTTCACATAAACACAATTATACCCACAACAAGGAACCCTAATATGATACTTAAAATATCAACAAAACCCTAAAAGCACTAAAACAAAGCCATCAAATATATAAACAAATTAGAGAAAACCCAGTAAAGTTAAAAGTCTCACCATGGCGTTGGTCTCAGATTATCAGCTTTATGAACGAACAAAGTCCCACCAAGCACTGCAAAACAAGCCAGCAAACCAAAATAGACAGAAACTAGGGTTTGAAAACCAAAACCCAAGTGAAGAAAAAAACAAACTTTCCGCGGCTTAACTCGAGAAGCTAAGAACAAAAGAGCTCAGTCGGTTAAGACTTAAAAGGGTTATCTTTGTTTCTCTTCTTATGTTGTTTTTAACGTTTAGGTCTAAGCCAATTCAGTCAAGAGACTCAAGAAACAGAGGATTCACACACAGAATGAGAGAGGCTGCAGCCTTGCAGGACAAGAGTCAAGAGGCCATGACCGAAGTGGAGCACAAAGAAAATACTAAACAGGGGTAAAAATGGAATTTTTAAGCTACATGAGGATAGTCTTCTAATGTAACGGAAAAAAAAAATTAACATGATGAACCCTAATCAACACGTGGCGATTCAGAGTGCTTTGATGTCATCAATCAGAAAACAGATCAAGTTTTGATTCGTTGACTTAAAAAAGTAGTATTGTTTTAGCCATTCAAGGGTTTTCTTGCAAATCTTAGTGTGGGATTTTTTTGGGAGATAAAATTTGACTAAAAGTTGTAGTCATCTTAATACTCAATCTATTGCTTTATCTAAATGACTTTTGTCTTTGGGTTATATATTTTTCAACGTTTAGTAACCATCTAATGCCTTCTCTAATTCAAAATTTAGGCATTTACTAAGGCCGTTTGTTTAAATATTTTTCACTATCCTATTCATACTATTTCTAAAATACCAGTTTGTTTCCATATTCTGAAAATATTATTATATTTTCTTTAACTATTTTAAACCCTTTAAGTTTATTAATTTAACTAAACACCACGAGAAAAAAGTTTAGAAATTAGCAAAAACACCCGTATCCATCCCACATTTATCAAATTTCAGCCATTATCACCAGAAGGTGATCAGAATATAGTATAATGGTGCACTATTGGCTGGATTCTATCATTTTCTAGCCATATTCATGACCAAATCTTTGGTCGTAGCTGGTCGTCAACGACGGCCATATTTTTGGCCATCGTTGATGACCAAACATGGCCAGATTTGGCCGTTGGCCATAGATTTGACCTTTTTCGGTCAGATCCATGATGGATCTGGCTGGAAAAGGCCATCTCCGTGCACGACTGGTTAGATCCAATTAGTCGTGCGTCGACATGACAACTCTGACCACCCTTTGGTTGTGGTGGTCGGTTGTTGGAATTTAATGGGTGAATTGGGCTGTTTTTGTAATTTTTAACTGTTTTTATTACAAGGGTGTTTAGTTATTTAACAAATCTAAAGGTGTGTTTTGTTAATTTTTAAATTCTACCTCATTATTCCCATCCAACTATAAAAATATCAAAAATACTAAAACAAACACACCCTTGACTTTCATTAGGAGGAAAATGAAACAATTTGGTCGCTACTAGGGGTGATTACCAGAGGGTATGTCCGATCGTTAACTTTAAGATCCTGGAAGATTAGTCCAAATACATACAAATTAGCCTAACACCTAAGTTAAAAAAAAAAAAAAAAAAAAGGATTTATCTGGGGACAATGTGGGTGCTTTCACACTGAATTGGAGCCTCAGTTAACGACGTTTATATATTTTTAACAAGATAAGGTTGCGAATGGGAGCCAAGAACAAGCCACAACCACCACTCACTAACTCATGGTAGTGGACTGGCTAGTTGTAGCATCTCTCACGATCTGAGCTCAGAAAGATACCAAAATGAAGACCTTTACAGTTCTGAGAACCCAATTCTACCTCCCAACATTCACCAATCTCACCAACTCAACCGCTAACCCTTCATTTTTTATCCCCATCAAAACCACGTCTTGCCTAAAACACCCCACTTCCCATTCACCTTCAAGAATTGTCACCTGCACAAGACAAACTCTGGGGCACTCTACAGAAACCTGCCACATAGACAAGCCCTTAGTTTTAGAATCTGGAAGAGAGTTTCTTCAAGTTTTGCCAGATGGGTATTCAAGGTTTTTGTTGCTTGGAGCTGTTTCTGTAGGATTTGCTTTGTTGTTTATGGGATTAGATGACCAAAAGGCCTTGGCTTTGGGGCCTGAAGGTCCTTTAGTAGAAGAGTTCTGGGAAAATGTTAGGAGATATGGACTTTATGCTCTTACAGTGAGTACTGGTGCACTTTACACCATCCTTTTGCCCATATTTGAGTTGCTGAAGAACCCCATCTCTGCAATTCTCCTTTTGATGATTTTGGGTGGTAGCATCTTCCTTATTTCTCAAGTACTTTCAGCCATGGTTGGTGTCACTGAATTTAATTATGATTATAGCTATTAGATTGAGAGTATAGTTTTGGTTTTTCTATGCAGATTTATTTGTGTACTTAATTTTGCAGCCTTATTTTCATTTTATATATGCAAACAGCAGATAGAAGGCTGATTAGCATGGGCCAAATGTTGTGTTAATCAAAACTCAACCATTGTTAAAGACTAGAATGGCATTGCAACAGTGATAGTGTTTCATTTTACATATATAAACACCAAATGCTGTTGATTTTGTCACGCCTCTACCAATGCAGAATTTATCAACAATTTGCGACCGAACAAAAGCATTCTAGTCTCACACCGACTAGGCACGCTTAAGTTCATTGGTTTATAAACACCAATTAGACACGCTCAACTCTACTAGTTTATAAGATTGGGTATACTCAAACCTACTGATTTATAAAAAAGGTAATCCTCTAATTCAACAAGGTTTTATCGCCTGATTCTATCAAAAATTAAACTAATCTTACAGCCTCAATTATCACAATAGATATCAAGCTAGCTCTTCAAAACAACAGATTCTGTCTAAGTCTTGCAACTATTATATAGCATTGTTCATTTCCCATTTTTATTGAGGAATCACAGTGTATGCTTATCATAGACAAAAACAGTAGGTACTCAAAACATATACACTATCAACATTGGTGGGATGGATCATCACTTCAGCAGCAAGCAACATTGGATATTGTTAAAGGGTAGCGAAAACTGTTAGCATACTGGAAGGAGAGAGTTTCTCCAGGACCAAGAGGCTCTCCATCATTGACCAGGCAATCATCATAGTACACTCGCCTAAACACTCTGGGATTTACCAACCGGGCAGAGCTGAACCATCCACAACTTACATGAATGTCGGAAATGCTACAGCCTGAGACACACACATTCAGGATTTGAACTGTGTATGAGGGAATTCCATTAGGGAGTGGAGCTGTTGAGCCTTGAAATATCAAAATGTCATCCTTTGAACAAGCTGTACCAATCCTATTTCCGTCACCATCATCTGCATCATTGTAAAGTATTAGGGCCTATGATTTTTCTATTTTGGACCTCCAAGTGGAGACTCTCTCAACCTAAAAGGCCTGCCCAGTGAGCCTGGCTAGGCCTGGTTAGTTTTTAGTTGATGAACAACAACACAGGCTGAAGTCCATTTCTAAACCAAGGGCTCTATATAGGGACTTTGCCCTTATCAAACTATCAAAGTCAGGACCCAGGCTTTAATGTCTATTTACAAAGTCCAATTCAAGTTTAAGGCAATTTCACAAGTTCCGAAGTGATTTTTAGGCTCCATCTAATTTAAATTAATGTTAAATTTATCAAAGCAAAAAATAAATTTAAAAGTGGGGTGAAGATCAGAAATAACATTATAATTTTTAAAATTTTAAATGTATTTATACTTTATTTTATATATATTTTTTAATTTTTAACATTGAATCTTACATAAACCCTAATCCTAAATTTTTAGAACCTAGTCCTAAATTTTCATAATCATTGAAACATTTTGTTTTATTTTAACTATTTGTTTGATGAAGATATAATACTAATAAAACTATAGAAAATATAACGGGATGAATTTAAATCCGAAGATGAATGATTTAGTTAACGACTGGGTAAACTCTCCAATGACCATCCCTATTAGGAACCGAGGTGACTTGAAATTAAGACATCTTTTAGGACATCTTGAGTAATATACCCAAGAGTCCTTATCTTATCACTCGACTATCCAAGGGTGGTTTAACTTGATTATTAATGGAAAACCCTTAGTTTGGCTGTAAAACTCTCCTTAATTCAATGAACTCATTAATTAGTGAATTAATACTCTCATTATTTTACAGTAACCAGCTGTAACAAAGAGTAAGGAGTGATGAGGAGTGAGGAGGAGGCACTGTTACCAGGAGACTGCAATAGCTTGCGAGCAATGGCAGTAGTGTTTTGCTTGGAAAAGACCAATCTTTTAATGCTGCCATGTTTAACCGGTTCAGCAAGAAATAACTCCACCCCTGCATGCATTTTCACCAACATGTTTCGTTTCAAAATTTAAAACTTTTCCCAGCAACTCAATAAATGGTGCAGCCCCTCTTAACTCTATCATAAATTAATTAGTACATCGCAGCAGACAACAGTTTAAACTCAAGGGTGTTTTTCATTAAAATTATATGATACAACAAAACCAAACCAAACCAAAAAAAACCCTGTTGCGTGCATGCATGTTCATCTATATTTGCACCAGAAACACCCCCATTATTTGTAATTATTCAATGCAAAACTTCTCATTTGATCCAAAAGTTAATATATATATAAGTTACTCCACACAGTTTGAAGTTTTGTGATTCAATATTGGGACACAGCGTAAAGCAACGGCTGCATAACGTTTTCTGAAAAGTTTTGCACAAAATCAGAAGTATCACAAATTTACGTCCACTTATAATTAAAGTCCGAATCTAAAGCGTAGACCAGCAGAAAACAAAGAAATGACTAAAGTTTTGCCAGTTTTAACGATGCATTTTGTTAACCAAGCAAAACATTTTTCAGTTAATCATCGGGGTTTTTCAGAAACACAGACGTTTGCACGATAATGATACTCGTTTTAGAGAGGTTAGAGATGAGATATAAAGATCTACGACGTACCAAAGTGAACAGCTAGCAATATAGCAAGAACCACAGCCACAAAAAGCATGTATATTCTTGGGATATCAATGATTCTGTGTTTGAGCTTCGCTTCTCTCATGGTAACTCTGACTCCCGTAAAACTGACCTGAAAATGCTGCACAGCAGATTATTAACATTCAAACACTTGAAGACCATGTAGGGACAAGCCAAAAATATATACTAATCTAAAATAGATAAAGACATTATATGATGATAGATATATTCAATAGACTAAAAAGAGAAAGAATTGAATAACCTTTGAACAAATTAAACAAGTACAAACAGCTGCAGAAGAAGAGGTAGCTTGCTTAATTAGCTGAATATGGAGAAGTAGTACTGATATGATGAGCGAGCGAGGCTGTGTTTATGCAGCTTCTGGGGTCAGAATATATTTATATATAAAATACAGTACTTAAATGCTTCCACTCACACGGGCGCCGTGCGTTCTTGTAATCAGAAAAGAAATAAAATCTAAGCAGCTAACTGTACATATTTATAATGGAAGTACAATAAGTGAATGATATATTGTTTTTAGTATACAACAGGAAGCGTGTTTGAACATGACTGCCTTCGTTTTTTGCAGAAGTAACTGTAGATTGTACACGTATGGAATGGTTTTAATGTTCATCTAGAGGTTCCTGCTCCTTAATTTAACCATAACTTTCAATGTGCTATTACCGTTCTTTATTGACTCTTTGCAGGCCCTTGTCCGAGGATGTTAATAATGCAGCAAAAATTCTCAGGTGTAGTCGGTCTGCAAATTTATAAATTTGGAAAAAAAGTTGAACATCTGTTTTGAAAATTAAAAAAGCTAGCTTTAAAAGAAAAGAGTGACATTGTTTACAATTTATTTGAAAAGAAGGGGAGCCATGAACTGGAAACATGGTGTAATTGATGTTGAAAGTGATGAATAAAGTTACAATTATGTCAAAAACAACCTTTAATAAAGCCAGCATGAAATTAAGCTGCCTTTGCGTATGTCAAATCAGAAGATGCTCTCCACCCTAGCTGATATGAACCCTAATTTTTGTTTCAACTTCTGTCTTTGCTCAGAATCAGTTAATGAGGGCTTTGAAACATGCCCACATCAGTAAATTAGTAACAGTTGAAAGCAGCTGGCAATCACAAACGCAGCGCTTGGAGAAATTACAGTGTACGTAAATAATTGTAAGGTATTAAGAGGTTCTTAATTATGGTGAAATTAATTAACTGAAGTTAAATGCATAGTAAAGGTTGAGTATTTTTTGTATTTTGAAGAAAGAAGAGCCGCCAAAAGCAGGAGATAGATGCTGGCTTTAAGCTTTTCATAAGCGGCGTTATTTACTTTTACTGAAACTGTCTGTTTATTGTCCCTCTAAACCTTAATTAAGTTAACCCCTTAGAGGCTCCAATTTGTTTGGCCATAGTTGTCAAATTATGTTTAAAAATCTAATTTTTTTAATTATATATTACACGTACGTATTGAATTGTAGTATACATATTTTTCAAAAAAAAATATTAAAATAATAAAAATTTTCAAAAAATTAATTATCACCCCTAACATTAATTAACGAATTTTGTGGTATTATTAATTTTAAATTATGGTATTACATAATCAAAATTAATCACAAAATAAAAATTTATATTATTTTCTCTTAATCATTCATATCATTTCCAAAATCAATGTCAATATTTATATCTCCACTTGTGTTATTATTATCATGCAAAATGGGCAATACATCTTCCTCTTCACTTTCTTCATGCAAAATGGGTAAATTTGGGTAATAGGTTTTAGTGAACCGGGTTGGGCGACTCGAATTCGACCCGAATTTTTTTTGGGGTATTTGGCTCAAATTAATAAAGTCGTATCAATTTGTATTGATATTTTTAATGATACGAACGGATACGTATTGTATTGTATGATACATATCAACGTATCGAAAGATTTAGGATACACTCGTTTACAACTCATATCGAATCATATCGTATGATACGTATCGCATATCGTAGGATAGTAATAAGATAAGTTTGAGCAAAGGCAAGAAGATTTGATTAAAGTTTTGTCTTGCAGATGATGTTTAGATTTAAGTACTGTTGTTATTAACACATACACTGTGACAAACTGAACCATGTTAAGAACCATTAAAGTGGGATGATTTAAAGGATGAACAGTGACGGGCCACAAGGGGTGCAGCCCCACTGCCTTAAATTAAGTTAGTCTGGTTTTTAATTAGGCAATACTGTACACACCTCGACTCATGTATCAATGGCTTGATTGATTTTGGCAGTGATAAGAATCGACTCATCAATCAGCTCCTATTTGACTTTTGAAATGCGTGTTTCGATCAAGACTGCAATATGTTTCTCTTACACATGTAGGCACTTACGCATACCTAAGGTTTATCGAAACGATAGTTGGTATCCAAAAGATTTTGAAATAATAAATAGGTACATTCTGTCATGTTTTGTTAGTGATTTTCGTTTGATAATAGTGAAAAGACTAAAATACCCTTGAAAGTTTAATATTTTAGTTTTCTATAAATTTAAAAATTTCAAGAAACCCCCTAGGCTTGCTAATTTGACTAAATACCCCAATATATAAAAATTTTATAAAATAACAAAAACACCCCCACCACCCGCAGTGCCAGATTCCGGCCACCACCACCGGAATCTGACCGAAAAAATTGCGTTACGACACAGACCCATCGGATCTGTGTCGTAACGTGTAGATCTGGCATTTTCCGACAAGATCTGTGGCTGATCTGGCCGGAAAAGGCCAGATATAAGGCCAAATCTGGCCGTCGAAGCCGGAATCTCACCAGAAAATTGTGTTACGACACAGATCCGAATCTGGCATTTTTCGGCCAGATCCGTGGAGGATCTGGTCGGAAAAGGCCAGATCTGGCCGCCGAGGCCAAAAAAGGCCAGACATAGATTTGGCATTTTCTGGCCAGATCGATGCGTTACGATACAAATCTGACGGGTCTATGTCGTAACATAATTTTCCGGCCAGATTCCGACAGTGGTGGCCGGAATTTGGCACTGCGGGTGGCGGGGGTGTTTTTGTTATTTTATAAAATTTTTATATATTGGGGTTTTTAGTCAAATTAGCAAACCTAGGGGGTTTTTTAGAAATTTTTAAATTTATAAAAAAACTAATATATTAAACTTTCAAGGGCATTTTAGTCTTTTCACTATTATCAAATGAAAATCACTAACAGAACATGACGGAAGGTACCTATTTGTCGTTTCATGACCTTTTGGGTACCTATTTATTGTTTCAAAACCTTTTGGGTACCAACTTGTCGTTTCGATAAACCTTGGGTATGTGTAAGTCGTTCTCCCTACAAATGTATGGTGAATTGTATTATTTATGTAACATTAATTAGCTATATATTGATAAAAATCACAAACCTTATACATAGGATAAGGGTAATAAATAGAAGGAATGGACATATAACTAAGTGAAATTGATGGTACAAGTTTAGGAAAAATGTAACAACATAGGGCAGTAGAGCCAAGGATTTTGAAGTGGAGGGTGATCCTGAATGAATTCATGGCTAAATTGGACCAGGCATTCCTTATCATTATCCTCAAAAGTTGTTGAAAGTTAAACAAACCCACTAACTATTAATTATGCCCCCTTTGCCTTGTGTTATCTTCTTATCCTAAAATCCTAATAAAAGCCAATAATTGAGCTTCGCTCATTCCCCTTTTATTTTAGGGTAATCCATTTTTCCACCCAAGGTTTGCCTTAATGACACTTTCCCACCTAAAAAGTTTTAAACTACCACTTTCCTATCCAACGTTAATATTCGGTTATTACCCAAAGTCGATTCCGACGCTCCGTCACCACCATTTGAACCTCTGACTACTCTCTACAAAACCCCTCTTACTCCAACAACTGATTTCTCGCCGATTGTCAGCCATCATAAAGCTAGAGTTTTCCATTCTCAGTTGATTTTCGGATGATTCTAGAGATCCTCTTACCCAAACTCCTAATAACTTGCTGAATGTTGACTGAGAAAGTGAGACGTGTTTTGAGTATTAACAGAATATAAACGTTAGGTGAGAAAGTGCATTTTGAAACTTTTTGGATGGGAAAGTGTCATTAAGGCAAACCTTGGGTGGGAAAAAGTTGTTTACTCTTTATTTTATTTTTATTATTCTAGCCATATTTATTGATGAGGAGTTGTCTCTATATATAAAATTTAATTTGATTCTGAAGAAAGAAAGCCACTCGACATGATTGAATATAAAAACAAATAAGGCTACTTACTGTCCACTCTAATCCTCATGCCCTATCTCTGCCTTCCATGTAATCACTTAACATCTATCTCTACCCAATCATTCATCCATTTTAATACTTATTTATATTGTTCTAATATCGTATGCTATGGTGTTCTTCATTTAAGTTAACAAATATGTAATGAATACTATGCAATTTTGTCCTAAAGTACTAAACAGTACTGTGTATATGATGATCTTCTCTTAAACAATTATATTTTTGTAGGGAGAAAGTCTTTCGTTCATTCTTTTACGATACAATTATTTATTAAGAAAATATATTTTATTCGTATTGATATGATATACTCTCATTGACAGGTTGTAGTGCAACAGGATGGTACATAATTTTTTTTTTCTTTGTGTCGATATTTACCATATACTAAAGTAGGATTTGTTTTTCTGTCATTTATATTAACCATCGATAAAATACTAGTATTTTTTATTCAAAAAATTAAATATGAGATCATGAGAATATCCTAATGCAAAATTTTATATTTTTAGTAGCTAATTAGTTTTAACCAGAATGATCTAATATAATTAAAAAAAACAAAAAAACGATATTTGTATTGTACTAGTGAATTTGTATTAAAGAAAATTGTCATGATAAACAATTAAATATCCTTAGGGCTATATATATGTAAGCACCCCATTAGAACTTTAAGCTTCGAGAGAGAGAAAAAGAGAGAGAGAGAGAGGCATAAAGAGATGGCTCTCAGGTGGATAGTCCATACAGCATGCAATGTTTTAGGCTATGATCAAAACCACCCAAACAACATCCACTGCAAAAATGCTATGGGCTACCAGAACCAAGTTCATCCACAAGGTCTCCTCAACAACACCTCAAAGGTCACCACCACCACCACCACCACCAGCAATTCCTCTTCATCTTCAGGCTTCCAGATGCCCCTTCATTACCCTCGTTACTCCAAGGCAGACTACGAGAAGATGGAGGAATGGAAGATCGACATGCTTCTCAGAGAATATGGCCTCACTTTCCAGGGCACCCTCGATGAGAAAAGAGCTTATGCAATGGGGGCATTCTTGTGGCCGGATCAATTCTAATCATTCACCCTGGAGAATTTTATACCATAGTTCTTCACATATATATATATATAATAAGTTCTGTTCATATATTATATATGAAGTTTATGCTTTCATGGTTATTCTTCCAGACAAAGAGAGACCTAGTTTGGTATGCTAATGCTATATATGTACTGTAATTTGCTTCTTTTTTGTTAATTACATTACATTAATTTCTCTCTGAAATTGATTAATGAATTAGGAAGCAATTTCTGGATATTCCTAGCTTGCAGAGATCATAAATTTCGTGACTGATTTGAATTGAAGTTCTAGTTCTAGTTCTAAAGGAGTTTGCTTATGTTTGATGGAAAGTATGAACATAAATATCAACCGTATCATAAATGTTTCTCTAAATTATCATTTATATCACAATTATTACCTTAATTGATACCTTGTTCTTTGCATTTAATTACTATATTTTCTTAATATTAANTAATTTGCTTCTTTTTTGTTAATTACATTACATTAATTTCTCTCTGAAATTGATTAATGAATTAGGAAGCAATTTCTGGATATTCCTAGCTTGCAGAGATCATAAATTTCGTGACTGATTTGAATTGAAGTTCTAGTTCTAGTTCTAAAGGAGTTTGCTTATGTTTGATGGAAAGTATGAACATAAATATCAACCGTATCATAAATGTTTCTCTAAATTATCATTTATATCACAATTATTACCTTAATTGATACCTTGTTCTTTGCATTTAATTACTATATTTTCTTAATATTAATGTCCTTCTCACTCCAAATACAACTCAAGATATATGTAAGGCCAAAATTATATTTTATTGTGTATAAGTTAATGGGAAAATTGATGTCACATTAGTCAATTGAGTTTGAGTGTACGATTTATTAAATTAATTTACAAGAAGGTTGATTGTATTAGTTCTACATTAATTAATGTTTAAGTTATAATTATTACCACTAATAATTTAACTAAAATACTATGAAACGACATAATTCATGGAGTAGGTTTTAATTGGTTTTGTCTATTTCTTGAAAATTACCTATGAAAAAGATCGTAACTCAATCATTTCCTCGATAAAATCCTTCGTGGAACAGTCTTGGAGAATACATCAAGTCATGTACTTCATCTATGCTGAATTTTGTGGACTTCCCTAATTTCATGAAGACAAATGGTAAACAGGAGTCGTTGGGGATAAAACTACGTATATAATTGACAATTTTCATGCTTAAACATGGGAATAATTACGGGAGAAGAGCCGTAATTTGAGGATTCATATAGAAATATCGTGTAGAGAAAGCCAGAAAATATTGTTAAAAAAAGAAGTTCCTTATGAGAGTGTATAATGAATGAGCTATGTATCATAGAGCAATGAAGGCAATAAATTAATTGCTTACGACAGGAGAAAAGAAAACCCAAATAGCACTTCTATTAGGTTCTGTAATTTAATATATAAATATTATTATACAATAAGGTCAACATTAGACTGAAAAATAATTAAAATATTTATAACATTCATTGATGGTTGATTAAGTGGTGAATGGTGATAGCTAGAAACTTCTAAGGTATAAAGATTTTTATCTTTCTACAAAGTGCTTGTACAGTGGATTGATTTTGGGGTGATTTTATGGCCACAATTCTTTGGAAAGTTCCATTCCATGCCCTCTGGAAATACAATTAGCATGGTCATATTCGTAATTTCCTTAAGAACCCCATGTCACTGTACCAGTTTAGGACTTGTATATAAACCAAGAGCCTTCAATCTTCATTCACATTGAACTCCAAGTGCCCACAAACAAATTTGAAGACCCTTTTCAAGGCCATTGATTTCTTCAAACTTTGGTTTTGTGTTTTATTGCGTAGATATAAAGAAGCAAACCAAGATGTATGAATACAAGCACTTGATCAGGAAAAGCAGCAGCAGCTTCCTGAAAAGGACTTTGCAGCTTGTTCTTTCAATCTCTATATTTTCTTGCATTCTTTGTTACTCTTCAGGATTTTCTTTCTTTCCTCATTCTTTCAATGTCTACTTCTCTACTTTCCTTTTCTCATTCTTGACTCATACTCTTGAGAGGAAGTACATGTTCCTTATTTGCAATGGCATCCTTGTGTTCCTTGCCAAAACCTCAATTGCTTGTTCATCTTCTTCTTCATGTGTTGGTAAAAAAAATTTACCGGCTTCTGAATTGTATTCTGAAGTTAAAGCACCAGTTCGTGATGTTGGTGAAGAAGCTATAGTTGAGGCAAGAACTGAATCTAATTCTCTGGAGAATGCTGCACTTGCCGCCGAGGAAGAACTAGATCAACAAGAAAAAGAAAAAGAACAAGGGTATTTGCTTAGAGAAGAAGAAGAAGAAGAAGAAGAAGAGCGAGAAAAGGAAGCTTTGAGAGCAGAAGGTGAAGATGAAGAAGAAAGGTCTGTGACTGTAGAAGAAGAAGAAAATAGAAAAGTGCTAGAAGCAACAGAAGGAGCAAGCACTGAATATACACAAATAAGTACAGATGAATTGAACAAGAGAATTGAAGATTTCATAAGGAAAATGAAGGAAGAAATCAGGATTGAAGCTCAAAGACAGCTAATCACAGTCTAATTATGAACCTACATTTTGAAAGAAAAAAAAGTTATTAAGATGAACTATTGAGCTCTCATGTTTATTTTTTGTTTCCTTTGTAGATTTTGGCCCCTCTTTCATGTATGCCTCATCACTGTTTAGTTCATAAATTAACTATACCTTTAGTTTTCTTCCTGTTATTTCACTTTCAATTTTCAATTCTCTAAACTGCGAACTGGTCGATGAGAAGAAGAATCGACACAAGGGTATCTTAGATTTCATTTTGAAAAGAAAAATTTGAAGAATCTAACACTTTTTTTTTTTGTAACAGTGCTTTCAGAATAAAGTATACATACTTTCTTGGTTGATTCGTAGCATAATTTAATGTGGAAAATACTAGAATGGACTAGGGTATACCGTATATATAAAGCAGACACTCGACAATTTGATTCATTATTATTATATTATGCAAACATGATTCTAAGTAATTGATAAACGCCAGATGAAATGAGAAAGAATGTATTGTTTGGTATTGGGAATTAAACAAGATGGTCTCTGCAGAATCACCCTGGGCACATTATGCTGTATGCTAGAGTTTGCTATTCCTCAAGTTAATGAATCAAATTTAACCATAAAAAATGTTTACGTACACTTTAACTAACCCTTGAGACTCTAGAATTATCGATCGGGTAAGAACTCCAATGTTTACCTCTTTTAGCATTGGAGGGAATATCCATGCAGCTGATTTTCAACCTGATTTCATTTAAAGACAGCTTTTTTGAAACTTCTAGAGTAATTAAAGAATTTCTCCCGGAATCTTGATGAATGAAATCATATATAAATCTGCAACAGACAGCTGATAAAAGCGAACCAGATTCTACTTCCTATGCAAAATCTCAGGAAAGAAGAAGAAAATGTGCCAATCAGATGTAACTTTTAAGCAACTATCTATGGCTTTAGTGTAGCCCTTTCTTTTATGTAATATCCTTACACATGTTACACATACCATATCTCTCCCTAACTATACAAAAAAGATTGATAATAAACTTTCCAGGTGCCTCCATTTCCTGGCAACCAAACATACCCCAAATGATGAACACCACAAGCTTAAGCTCATAATGCAATCTCCAGTGGCCCTCAGGTTGCTTCGTCAATGTCAATGGTCCATCTTTATCAAGAAAGAAGAAGGTCCATCCCAGGTTTCTTAAGCTTGGAGCCTAGGACAACTAAATCATTACCAAAAGTTGTTAAGATTTTATATTACATAATCATGCATGCCAAAATATCAATCACTGTTACGTTATTAGAATCTAATATTAATTTGTTAGATCTAAATAAAACTTACGAGTTAAAATTAATCATATATGAGCAAGATTAATGTATCGATTCTACAGACTGATTCTCTATCTCGACTGATGTGGAGTGCGATATGAGAAGCCCCGTACCAACCATATCGTACTTCACAGTCAATCAAGATCGGCCTGCAAAATCGATAAGTATAGTATATTTCATCATTTACTCTGTCTTTTTCCTATCTAACAAGCCTGAATATTTTGATTATTTAGCAGCAGATAAGTATTGCCATTTGTCATGTACTAATTTGTACAGTAATGAAACCGACCACCCAATGCACGTGGCTCTTTACATTTTATGTGGCTAGAAGTTTGCAGGTTTTCATATTCATTTCTTTTACAGAGATATATATTTCATTTTATTCACCACCAATATCGTGGACAGGGTCATGGTCATTTGCTAAAAGGGACCCTCTTGAATGTGAAGATTCAATCATTCAGATTGAATGAATGAGGCCAAATTATTCATAGCTGCAAAGATTCAGAGAATTATTAATTGAGGGAAAAATCTAGAAAGCTAGACCCCATTTTGATGATGATCACATCAGCTTGAAGAAGCAAGTTCCATCTTGTCTGCAAGTGGCGACAATATTGAGTGAGTGATAGATTATTGCCAATAATTCAACTATGGAACAGTGCAACAATCAATTGAAGAGAAACAGTTGTATAAAGTATAAACCGTAATTCTGATAGTACAAAAATCAGTACATTTGGCAAATTATAAGCATGTGAATGCGGGTCCAGAATATCCAAACTTGAAGAGGATTGAATTCGGTAGGGCCTGGGAAAATCTCTCATGTTGGATGAAATCATGAAAACTTGCCATCTCCATAGTTTGAATGACAAGAATGGCGTTAAATTTGTATGTTTTGCATAGCTATTATTGTTTCAATTTGTGGTTCCTGGCTTCCTGCAGATGCCATATTGGCATCGCAGCCACGCTCAATCAATCAAACAGATAAATACTGGTCGTTTTGAACCTTAGAGGCTTAAACAGTAAAAAAAAGACTCATTTGTTAGTGATATGAGACGTAATATGTTCAGTTAAAAACTGAACTGTCATCTACAGTATGCTTTGTTTTACAAAGTTCTGCTGAATCCACTAATGAAGCTACTAGAGCCTCAAAGATATTGCAGTGGAGCAAGTTGCAGAGGTTGTAGTGTTATACATCACATATTTTTTTTTGCATGATTTGGGCTGCAACAGAAATGAAGTTAGAATTTAGAGCAATTTTGGTGATGACTCCTTTTAACATGGACCCTGGGATTCAAATGCTGTCATACTTCATAATCAAATTATTTCAGGGCCTGGTAGAAATTCCCCAAAAGCCAAAGCTGAAACATATGCAAGTAAATTTGCAGTAGACTAATTGACATCAACAAATTCATATGAAAGTAAAGAGCAGAAGAATTTACATGCAGTTATCTATTTATTTGACTTGAGGAGGACAAGTATTGAAATCTGTATGATACTTAATAGGATAGCTATCAGTCTCAAACAACTTCAATAGAGTTTATTAGAAAGCTTATCAATCTCAAACAGCTTCAATAGGACTCCCAGGAAAATTTCGACCTTTTTTTTGGATGTGACTTAAATGCATTTCCCCTTCCAACCTAACAAAATCGTTCTCATACACCCAATTCCTGGACCACTGTAAGCAAGTTTTTTTCACATAAGCTGAAATTATAAAAGCAGAAAGGAAGCATCGATCAAGTGCTCACAAACAATAGTATCATACTTCATGAATCAAGCACGCTTACTAAATGCTTATGGAGTCAAAAAGGCAAGAACAGAATGAAAAATGCTCATTACTTTTCTTTGTTACTCCAGAAATAAGTCCAGAAACACACATCTCATATTTACAGAGTACACCTTGGCAAGTGTATACTACAGTACCGACAGGGCCAACAACGCCCTTCTCTTCAAATCCAAGGGTTCTTATTTATTTATTTATTTTTTAAAAAGAAAAGGAACCGGAATGGCATTTTACTATTTCCTTCACAGTAGTTTTTCATTTCAACATCTACATCTTCTGATTGTAAGTTGGCAGTCAGATAATAGTCATTCTGCTCTGACTCTGACTGTAAGTTGGCGGTGAGATAATTGTCATTCTATTTTTCTACCCTTGCTTCCATCAAATTTCCAATTGACTGTTTATTCTTTTCTTCAATGAACAATGAAGACCTGGTGATTTTGCTCGCTATGTCCACAGTTTACATCTCTCCAATATCAATCAGTTGGTGAAAGAGTAAACTCCATAGCAATTCCATCACTCTCTGGCATATCTCTAACCTCGTTAAGAAGCTTAGTGAGCTCTTTTGTTAGTTCTTTACGAATATAGTCAGATCGCTCTTTTGTAATTGACGATTCAGCAAGTAGAGTTTCAGTAAGGGAATAAAATTCTTCATACCATTGTTCATCGTTTTGATGAGTAGCATGATCATAGAAAATGGCTAAAGAGCTTTCCCGCCGCCATCTACTTAGAAAATACTTATCAGGAAGTTGAAAGTAGTTCTTTATGATGAAAACACGAAGAGCGTGTCTGCATAATATACCTGAAGACTCAAATTCCTTACAGGAGCAATGAATTTGCTCATCTTCAGGTACCCATAGAATGAGAAATTCACCATCAACCTTCTTGAAATGTCGAACAAGATATGACCCATTAGCCATTTCAGATGCAGCATACTGCATAGCTAGCACCAATTCATGTTGAAAAGCATTAAAGGCAAAAGGTGTAAGAGTCCTACAGGCATGCTCTTCAATGGGCATGCATGTTTTTATATGCATATATTGCATATCTTGACGTGGTCGGTCCTGTAAATTGGCAGAGATACCTACCTGCAAGAGTTCCAAGCAAAAGTATAAACAATTATGCCATGAAAATCTGTTCAAGAATTACAGGACAGTAAATGTAACTGAGATACCTGCTCAAAAAAGCTACGTAAACATGTTTGCGCACTAAAGATTCCTTTCAGAATTGCATGTACTGCCTTCGAATAGGCAGTTGTTGCCATCTGAGCAAGAAAATAGCCTCTTGTGTGGGGTATTGCCCATGACATCCGGAGAGAATAGAGTAAAGCAATGTGTTTATCTGAACCAAGGCCAAACATGGAAACCATTTCACTCCATCGAAGTTCAAAATCCTCTGTACTCTCTGTACGATATAATGCGTCAAACTCAGATTTGAAGTGAGAAAACTGAGATCCCAGTGGCAGAGAGAGCCAACTTGATAACTTGGGGAGGATATTACATATAGATATAACATGTTTAGTGCTAGGTAATTCACTTCTTATAGCATCTTTGAGCCCCGGGTCAAGATCAGTTATAATTGTCTGTGGACATCTTCCTTTCATAAAACGCAAAAAGGTCTGCATCCAAACAGCAAGATAAAATCGTAAAAGGGAAGAAATATGAAGGTATTTGAACTCAACTAAAAGGGATTTAGTGGTAAACCTGCAAAGCCCAAGCAAATGAACGGAGTGTTTCATCCTGCAACAAAGCACAACCAAAGAAAATTGTTCTGCCATTGCTGTCAATCCCAAGCCATGCTCCGAAAATCATACCATAAGTGATCGACCGATAAGAAGTGTCAAAATAAACCACATCACCAAGCATGTTGTATGCATGAACAGAGTCAGCATAAGCCCAGGCAATATTCTCAATCTTATTGTTCTCATCAACTGTAAAATCATAAACAAAGTCTTCATCTGTCACTTTTGAAGCCTTGCATGCCTCTACAAGTTCCATTGTGTCATTCTCTCTTTTCT